AGGGCCCCAGGGTCCCCCCTTGACAGCTCTTACCTGGGGCTGCAGCAGACCCAGGTCGGTCTTCTGGGGGGGACTCTAAGGGGTGGGCATCTTGTCCAATCTGGTCCCAAGTTCCCCTCCCCAGCTCTCCTGCCACACCCACACAGAGGACCGCTCCCCATGGGCGCCCAGGGTGGTTGGTGGGGCAGTGCTCAAGGACAGTGCCAACGATGGGGACTGGCCCCCTGGGAGCCAGGACTGTGAGCAGCCAGGACACCCTAGGCACCGAGTCTGGCCAGGCACGGGGCTGGCAGGAAGGGACGCAGCACACGGGTCCAGCCCAGACCCAGCAGGGCAGCCCAAGTGACTATTGACGTGGTCCTTCCCTGATTCAAGCAGGGCGGCGCCTTGACGCCTGAGGGGTGGGGGTGAGACAAGGCCTGCCTATCACACTGGGACCCAGCTGTGGGCCCTGGGTGTCACCAGAACTGGTCTGCAGCTGAACAGGACACTTAGGCAGCATGTAGAGGGCACCCACCTCCAGGTGCTTCCCCAGGGCTGCATCTCTGCCAGGTGGGCCACGGACAGATGTGGGCCAGACCTCCAACCCAGGCAACTCCCTGCTCCCTCCTGGGCTCCCTGTCCCCAAGGAGGCCCTAAGGTCTGGGGCAGCCCTGTGAGGCCAAAACTTCCACTTCAAGAGGCCACTGGAAGCCCTGGCCTTGGCCAAACCTACTCAGGCCCAGCTCTGCTGTGGGGGCTCGAGGGACAGAGAAGCCAGCTCAGCCAGCAGAGGAGGCAGGAGATGGCCAGCCCCTGGCCACAGCCTTGGGTAGACACAGCGCCCCTTGGGCAAATATTTCTTTCATCAGAGTCAGTCTTGTGAGCCCTGAAAATACATCTGCAACTCCAGGGCCCTGAGGCCCTAGCGGCACAGCGCCCGGCTGGTCCCAGGACAGCCCCTTGACCTGGGCTTCCCCACCCTGTCCTGACACCTGCTGGCCCGGAAACCAGCCCACTGCTGGTCACACACGTCCCAGAAGGGATCTGGCCGGGCTACACCGGGTGCCGTCTGGGCTGGGCACCCCACGTGTCAGCCAGGCACAGAGGGGGCCCACGGCCACCAGACCCAGCCTGCTCGGCCACCTCACTGGCCCTCTTATTGTCAGTGGCCACAGGCCTGCCCACCCAACATGGCAGGGCTCCACTGAGCCCCTTGGTTTCCCAGGACGTCCAGAAGCTTCTCCTGGGAGGGAGATGCACCCCCTCGTCCCAGCCTGGCCCAGGGAACCCAGCTCCCCACACACACCTGGCCCTGTGGGGTCCCTGACTCTGTCCCCGAGGCCTGCAGCCCCTCCACAGCTGGCCTGGTCACGTGTGCCCCAGCCTCATGCCCTGGGCCTGGGCAGGGTCTCTGAGAGGCCCTTGTGCTTCTGCACAGCCCAGGCCAGACCCTCCACCCACCCCAGCCGCTGCAGGAGGTGCCGCCTTGCCTGGTCCTGGCCCACGTCCCACAGCCAAGTCTGCTGTGCCCCAACCGCATGTGCCCTTGTTCTATGCCCTGGGTCCTCCGTGCCCCCGTCCTGAGTACCCGGCCCCCACCCACAGCACCAGCCAGGCCCTCAGACCCACAGGCCCATGGGGGGGGTCATCTGGCATCCCTTCATCTCTGCCTCATGCCACCACCCCCTCCCTGGGCATCAGGCTCAGGCTCCCCCCCGGGACAGCTGCACCATTTGCGGACACCCCTTTGAAGCCAGGAGGGCCGGGTAGGGGACACACTCGAGGGGTCAGAGCCTGGGCTGCTGGGCTTCACAGGGAAGCAGCTTATCGCCGCCCAGCACCTGGCTCCGCGCCCAGCACCCCAGGACCTCTCCCTGCCAGTCCTCATCCAGGATGCCGACAGTTACCTCTCGAATGGCCTGATAGAGGCCCCTCCCAGCCAGGCCTGGCCTGGGGTCACCCCAAGGACACAGCTTGGTTCCCTTCTCTGACCCCAAGACTGGGACCCCAAGGCGGGGAGCCTGGCAGAGCTAGGGACACAGACAGCTGTGCCTCTGTCCCTGTGGCGCTGGGGGCCCACTGACCTTCCCGTGGTGGCCAAGGGCACTCAGGGCCTGGCCTTGTCTGCATGGAGGGTGACAGTGGCAGGCAGGGGAAGGCCCAGGGCGCAGCCCCTCTGGGGTGTGCTGGCTGCCACCAGGCTCCTCCTTCAGTCCTGGGAACCCAGCCTTGGACACTGTGCCCCTACCCTGCAAGGGTGATGCCCACAGGCCCCCTGGATCTTCCAGGAGCCTCCCCCCAGCATATGTGTCCCCCTCTTCCCAGGCCTAGGAGCCCCCAACGTGGGGGGACAGGGCATCTAGGTGACAGGTGCCAGGGGTCAGGCATGGGTGTGTGGGTGGGCAGAGAGGTACAAGGAGCCCCCTCATTCAGACGCTCTGCCCAGATAGGCCCCTACACCTCAGAAACATCATCCCCTCCTCCATCCTGTTGGCCACGCCCCAGGATGCCCTCTGCCCCACCTCCCCACTCACATCCTCGAAGCATGTAGGACTTGCACCCCACGGCCCCCCTGCCATCCCTGCATGTGTGGGGTGGGAAACACCATTTCATCCTTGGAAATGTGGGGTTGCAGACCTGAGCAAGTGGGGGTGCAGGGCGGCCAGCGCACCCCTCTGTGGTGGGGGCCGAGGCAGGGTCAAGCTGGAGACAGTCCAGGAGCAGACGGGACTTAGGGACGGGGCCCAGGGCTCAACTTGGGCTGGGACAGCCAAGGGAGAAGGGTCTGGAAGCTGCAGGGGAGCAAGGAGGCACTGAAGCCCTCTAGGCAGCCCCTGAGGAGGGTGCAGGAGCGTCTGAGGGGTCTGAGCTCCAGGGCCGTAGTGGTGGGCGTGCCCAGCCCACCACCCACCGTCTGTCCTCAGGACCCCTGAAAGGGCCCTCGGGGAGGCATCCAGGAGCCAGGCTGGTCTCACAGGAACCCGGGACCTGTGCCCCTGGCTCTGCCAGGCCCGTCCTGCAGAGAGAGCCAGTCAAAGGCCACACAGCACATTAGCCACAGCCTCCCTGGGCAGGCACAAGATGGGTCGGTTCACAGGGCACCAACTCCAAGGGTGGCCCCGGGCCTCAGGCTAGGAAGGCTGTAGGTCTGCAGTCCCAGAGTCTCCTGCAGAGGTTCTGGGAGGACTTTGCTCTCAGGCTGCCACCCCTGGGGAGGGGCAGCTCATCTCCTGTGACCCACAGATGGCCCGCCACCCAAGGTCTCCTGCCGCCCAAGGTCTCCCACCCCTCCCCCACTCCAGACTGAAACCCAACCAGGCGTCAGCCTAAAGCTGATCCTGTCTGGAGAACATCTGTTGGTCACCAGCTGCAGGCCCCCTAAAGCCCCCACTCTCCCCTAGCCACTGTGGCTGGGCCTCCCTCAGCATCCACAGCCGGCCCTGTACCAAGGGGCCATTGGCCAGGGCCTGCCCTGAAGTCAGGACCACCCCCGTGGGGGTTCCCTCAGGGCACAGAAGTAGGGGGCCTGGAGGAGGGGGTCCTGCCCTGATCACATGGGGTCATAGCTGGGGGTGTGTGGAGGGGGAGGGGGCCCAGGCTGGGGAGATCTCCCAACACCGCCAAGAGGCCCCTTGTCATCTGTGGAGCCAGGCAGTGCCCTGCACACCAGCAATCCTGAGGCCACTCCCATTGCACCTTCCATGGCGATAGGGATGCAGCACTCCTCACACCAGTGGCCTTGCCAAAACCTGCATGAGGTGTCTCTTGAGAGGTTCTGGAAGCCCCAGGCAGGCAGGTGTCCGCTGGGAAGAGCTGGCAGCCCTGACCCTCCATGTGTCACTTTGGTGACACTGTCATGCAGCCAGTGGCAGGGAGGACACTCAGGTGGAGCCCTGGGGACAGAAGTGAACTGAGCTGTCAGGAGCCTCCCCACTGAAGCCCCATGAGGTGGACCTGGGGCCCTGTGCTGAGGGTCAGGGGCCGTGCACAGCGTGGAGAGGGGGTGCTGCTCAGCCAGGTGTGTGGGCAGTGCCCCACACCCAATGATACCCTGAGGCTCAGAAAACCCAAGTCCTCTGCTGGGAGGCACTGACGACAGTCCCCAGTTCTCAGCCCCTGCGGCCTCAGGCCAGCGACAGGACTCCCCTGGTTGCTGGTTCTGGAAGCCACATCTGGTAGGCAGGCATGCACACATGAGCACATGTATGTGCATGCAGGCATGCTGGCATACACCACAGACGCAGACACAGGCAGAAACACCAGTGTAGAGGGAAGGAAGCACACTTTCATGTTTAACAAAATAAATTAAATATACGAGGCTTCAGCTCAAACTCTATATAAAATTACAGAGGTCTGGGGCCACCACGGGCAGTGGGTGGTGGGTGCCTGGCCCCAAGGGGTGGGGATATGCGGCACAGCTACAAGGCCAGACGGGTCCTGGGCCGCAGGAGAGGCCAAAGTCCCCACAACCCAGCCCTCCATCATTATTAATATTATCTTAATTCCTTAAATATAAATACCAAGGCCCCTTCCCTGGCAGTGGGAGACGGGTGGGGAGGAGCAGGGAGCTGCCTGCCACCCAGCTCCTGCCTGGCAGGCCTGGACCTGCTCTGCCCCCGCCCAGGCCCAGGGCACCAGGAGACCCCTGGGCACCAGGCAAGTGGCAAAAATAACCACCTAGACCAGGCAGGGACACAGGCAGGATGGGGCGGGGAAATGACCACGGCCATCATGAAATCCCCCTCACGGGGCTGGAGAGGTTCCTTCATCAATGAGCCCATCACCACATGCACAGTGCAAGTGACACAGCGCACAGCCTCCTGAAGGCGGCTCAGTCCCTGTGTGTGCGTGTGTGTGTCCAGGCAACACATCTGTGTATGCTTGTGTGTGTGTCTGGGCAACGTATATGTGCATGTGTCCAGGCAATATGTCTGTGTGTGTGCATACCTGTGTCCAAACATGTATATGCATGTGTGCGCTCAGGCAACATGTCTGTATGTATGTGCATGTGTGTCCGGGCAACATGTCTGTGTGTGCGTGCGTACATGTCTGCATGTGTGCACATGTCGAGGGCTTTGTGAGCCTCACACGGGGCGCCCCAGGGTGTTGCCACACCTCCCGTGGTGGGTCCACCTCCCTCCTTGCGCTCTGCCCCCTGCCCCTCCCAAGCCTCCTCCTGTCTGCCCTCGGCCCCAGCACCCCGGCGTTCTGCAGGGACGCCACCGTCTAGCACTGGTAGTGGATGTGCTGGTGCTGATGCACTTTGCCCTCCACGTGTGAATGCATATGTGAGTGCGTGTGTGTGTGCGTGTGGATGTCCGTGTAGAGTTTGGGGTACAGCTTGGAGCCAGCAACCGGGCCTGGGCCCAGCAGGAGCTGGGGGGCTGCTGGGGGCCCAAGTTCCTCACACAACCCCACGCCAGGGCCAGGGTTGAGGGCAGCTGATGCAGGCAAGTCCTTGTCCCCACTGCGGTCACGGGCCGTCCCAGGTGGGCGGTGCCCAGGCATGGGCGGGGCAGATGCAGGGGTACACGGCTTCTTCTTAGCCTGGCAGAGCCACAGGAGCACGGTGCCCAGGATGAAGACGGCGCCAGCTGGGATACCGATGACCACAGGCCATGGGAGGCTGCTGGTGGAGGATGAAGGGGCCACTGGTGGCCCTGGCGGTTTTGGGTCTGCAAGAGAGACAGAGGAAAAGAGGTGGGGAGGGGAACATCACCACAAAGACAGGGAGCGCGTGCCTGAGACCAGCCTACATGTGCATGGCAGGGACAGCACCCCCAGAACTGCCCTGCCCGCGTGCCCCCCGTAGGGAGGAGCCCCACCCTAGTCAGGTGGATGCCAGTACAGTGGTGGGCGCTGTGTCAGCACGGGGTGGGCGGCTCACATACCTGGCAGCACGGTGAGGAAGGCGCTGCGGAAGCTGTAGCCCATGGTGTTGGCGCCCAGGCAGATGTACATGCCTGCGTCGTCCTGGCGGGCACGCGTGATGAGGAGCTTGTTGAGGTAGGAGCCATCCGGCCGCGACCACACGTCACCTGTGGGCAGCACCACAAACTTCTGGCCGCCCACGTCAATGGTGGAGTTGTGGCGGCCCTCGGCGCCGTACTCCACGCGCTTCAGCCACTGGATCACGGGCTTCACGTCGCTGCGCACCTTGCACTGGAAGGACGTCGTCCCCCCAAAGTCCACTGTCGTGTTCACGGGGTGTGTGCCCGTGAGCACAGGCTTGGAGCGGGTCCTCTCTGCAGCAGGGACACAGCACTTTGACACGGCTCCTAGGCCCGCCAGGCTCCCCAGCCCCGCCAGGCCCCCGGCCCCAGCCCCACACTCACGGATCACATCCACCTTGTAGGTGGCGTTGATGGCACCCGCCCGGTTTGACACGCGGCACGTGTACTTGCCGCTGTCCTCGGGCCGCAGGTTCTTCAGGCTCAGCGTCCACTTCTTCTTCCTATGCTCACTGGCCTCTGGGCGTGTCAAGGCCTGGTCGTCCTTCATCCACATGATGTCGGGTCGTGGATGCCCACTGGCCACGCACTTTAGCCGCACAGAGCTGCCCACTGGCCGTGCGATCACCCGGCGCCTCATCTTGGAGGGCTGTGTGAAGCGAGGCCGCGCTGTGGGATAAGGTGGCATCAAGGTCAGTGGCCACAGGTCCGTGGGGCACCAGTAAGGATGGGCGCCATCCCATCCCCCATCCCCAGCAAATAGGGCACCCCAACTGCATGCTCACCCCACTGCTGACTGCCCGGGTCCTCTTGGCCCCCGGAGAAGCCATCGGGCCCCAGGCTTTCCTTCCCTGGGCTGACGTCATCTGCAGAGAGAGGGAGGACCCATAGGGAAGACAGGTGAGGGGGCCCCAAGAAGCCCCCACCAGACTGCATCATGGCCCCCTAAGCAGGAGACCAGCGGCACACACGTCGCAGAATCCCAGGGACAGCTGGGCAGGTGACCCTGCAGGCGGGGGTGTGACTGGAGGGCCAGCCCCCCCCCCCCGGCTCCGGGGGGTCTGCAGCACCAGAGAGGGGGCCAGCCCGGCGGCAGCTGCAGTAACCCTAGCCCACATCAAGGGGCCGAGGGCTTGGCAAACAGACGTGGCTCACATACTGCCTGGTCATCGTTCCCTCTGAAAGGATGGAGGGAACGGCTGCAGTATTCCCACTGCACACCCAGAGGAGGCCCTCGGGGCCCGCGTCGGGCAGTGCCGGGGCAGGGCACGGCACACTGAGGAATGTCTCCTCCACCCACCCTGTGACAGCCGCCCACCCTGTGACAGCCGCCTCTTCTACCAAGACTGGGACCAAGGGCCAGACTATCTCAGGCCACCCCAGTCGCAACTGGGGGTGTGGGTCAGTCCCTTCCATCGTGAAAGGGGCCAGCCTGGCTCCTGCGAGCCCCACCCCAGTGCCCCACACCCCGGGAGGCTGGTGGGGGCCGGGTGGGTGCAAGCGCCTGGTACCAATGCGTGGAGGGCGGGTCGACAGGACACCTGTCCATTCCCCAGTGCCCAGGCCCCAGGGGCAGAAGAGAACAGAAAGGCCATTCGTCCCGGCGGCCCCTCTGAACTCCGAAACCTGAGCCTCAAAGTCTCAGCCGACGCCAAGGCGCACCCTGCCAAGACCGCGGCCCCGCCCAGGCCTTCAGTGGGACCACTGCCTGGGCCTCACACACCTCCACTGCCCCCAAGGAAGGGCCCCAAGGCTGGGGCCTGGGGAGGAGAGGGGCCCAAGGCTGCCCCGGGGGACCCAGTCTGGGAGCAGTGACAGTCAGGCCCTCCTGGGTTCTGTCCAGGCTCTGGTAGACCAAGTGTAGGCTGAACAAGTGGGGTGGGTCAGGAGACACAGGGCAAATTTGCTGCCCAGGGCTATGTTGGCTCACCTGCCCCAGGTGTGGCTCCCCAGGGCACCTGCTGCCCTCCTGCACACCCCCTGCCCAGGTGACCTCTGACCAGCCAATGACTGACCCATCACGATGAGGGTGTAGTTGACACTGAGGCTGCCAAAGCCATTGGTGGCCTTGCACACGTAGATGCCAGCATCCTCGGACTCCACTTCCTTCACCCTCAGGCCCTGGGGCAGTACGCGGAAGCGGCTCCAGCCACTGTGGATTGTGCGGCCATCCTTGGTCCACATGGTCAGTGGTGGCGGGTCCCCTTCCACTGGACACTGCAGACGCACAGTGCGGCCCAGCCGGGCTACCTGCCTGGGGACCACCTTGTCCGCCATCCTTGGGGGGCCTGCAGGGGCGACGGAGGGCTCTGTCAGGGAGGTGAGGATCAACAAGAGTCAGGAGTAGCAGTGGGCACACGAGGGACCTGCAGCTCAGTGTGGCACTGGGAGCTCAGGTTCCACCTGGCACCCGCCCATGACAGGAAGCAGAGGCCGAGCATGCGGCCCTCTTCCCAGAGCACAGTGGCCATGTCCACCCAGCACCCACCAAAGCACAAGGAACAGACCCAAGCACCACTCCAGCGACTCTCCGTGTCCAGGGCGGCCCATGAGCCCGGAAGCAGGCTCTCCTCGAAGGAGGACAAGAACATAGTTTCCACCAGGGCCAAAACACAGCCTGACTCAATAATCCCTTTAAAGCCACAAACCAAGGAAGCAGGTCCACCTCCCAGTCACACAGGAAGGAGCGATATGCTGGGGCCTCAAGGACAAGGCGGCTCCAGGGCACAGAGGCCACAGGCTCCCTGCACTCTGACGCCTACCACTGCAGAGGAGTGCCCGTGCTCCCCCAGGTCCCTCGTGCCATGCCCACCAGGTCAGGGGCCACAACTTCATGGCATCACCCAGGTTGCCCGGCAGTTTGCCCAGGCCAGACAGCCAGGTGTGTCCTGCAGGCGTGTGCATAGGCATGTGTGACTTAGTCTGTGAGGGCACCGGTGTGCCTGCTGTCTCTGTATTGGGTCTGGCAGCCCACGTCTGTGTCTATTTGTGTATGTGCCATCCGTGTCTGAGTTCACAGACAGCATCTGCCTAGGTCTGTCTGCCTGCCCCTGGGCCATGCCTTCTCAAGTGGCTTAACCTCCAGGGGGCATGACCCCAAGGCCCTGGGGTCCGGGGGTGTGGGTCTGGAGAGGGCAGCGGTTGGGAGGTGGGCCCCGGGTGCTGCAGGGCTCCTGTCCAGCTGGCAGTCCCCTAGGCTACACCTGGGGGGTAGTTTGGCCCAGGGAGCCAGCCCTCCAGTGTGGGGGCCACATGAGGAGGGACCCATAGCAGAGAAGCCGAGGCTCTGCAAGGCTGCCCGCCCACGAACCCTTGCCGAGAAGCCAAGTCCAGGGCTGAGGCCACGGCTTCCCTCACCAGCAGAGAGAAGCCCACTCTGCCCTCCCCAACCCTGGCTGGGCCTGCATCCCATCGACCTCTGCCCCGCCCGGGGCCTTTGGGTTGCTGGACGGACTGGTGGGCTGGGAAGGTGGGTCCCGCACACATAGACCCTGCAAGTGTCAGAAATGCAGGCAGGCCTAGGCCCAGACAGTGTTCCTGGGGGAGCTGCCCCCTTGGTACATGCTGCTCCCAAGACCCCACTTGCCGGCCTGCTGGTGAGCAGTGTCTACCCTGCACTATGATCACCCCTGGCCAGGAGGGCCAGCACCCAGGCAAACGTCCCCAGGCCCAAGGTGCCAGAATGCTACTGGGAAGGGGCCTGAGGGCAGCATGTGTTTATAATAACCAGCCAATACCTCTACATACAACTACCAGTTGGCTCTGTGACCGGCCTCGGCAAGCCCCATCCAGAGGGCGGCAGTGGGCATCTTCAGAGATGTGAGCAGCGGCTTCCATTCTGATCTCCCTGTCTGGAGACAGGGACCCTTGCAGAGCCCTCTGTGCTGCTCCTCTGGAGCCCACTCCTGTCTGGCAATGTAGGGCTGGCCCCGCTTGGATGGAGGGAGCTGATAGCCTGCGGGTGGCTCCAGAGTCTCCCGGTCTCCGACTCCAGCTGGCACCATCCAGCCCTGCTTGGGGCTGGGCTGTGAGGACAGGGGTTTCCTCCCAGCCTCAGCCCACCTGGCCTAGCCCACTCCCCTGCCTCTCTGGAACTCTCTCCCCTGACTCACATCTCCTCCACTCAGGATCCTCCCGGCCCCACCGTGGGCCCCAGGCCAGTGCCAGCCAAGGTCCCCACAGCCAGCAGCCCCTCCTCACCAGCCCCCCTCTGCCCATTCGGCTCCCTCCACAACCCACCCAGGGAGGCTGGGCAGTTCCAGCCTCAGTCACAGCGGGAGGATCTGCAGGGCCCACGGACACACGGCTGCCTGACCCCTCAGCCCTCCAGGGTCCTGGCCCCACCGCAGTCAGACCCTGACCGACATCTGTTGCTCCTGAAACTCCCCCATCCATGGGGCCTTCCAGGCTGCAGGACCTGCCCTGCTTGTGCCTGCTGGGCAGACACCCGGGCACAGGCCTCGCACACAGGCACATATACACGTGCACACGCCCATGCACACACGGAAGGAGCAAGGGGAAAGACTGCCCAGCCCTGTCCTGATCCTGCACCCTGGAAAGGAGCCCACCCTAGTGGCAGAGAAGCCCCAGCCTGGCTGTGCTACAGGGAAGAGTCACCTCCAGCCCCGCCCCCTCCCTGCCCCCAGCAGAAGGAAGAAGTTCTGGGGGCGTCTGCAGGGAAGCAGGAGAGGACAGGCACAGATGGAGAGGTCAGGACCCGCCCACGGTCACTGTCGAGAAGAGGGGCAGAGCCAAGTGACCGCCAGACTGCCGGAAACGTGGCCCCCAGGGCAGCCTGCATGCCCCGCAGCAGCAGGCCAGAGGAGCCAGCCTTATCCTAAAGCAAACAGCCCTCCCCTCCCCTCCCCTCCTACAGGCCAGCCCTGCCCCCACCCCACCCCCACCTGAGCACCCCTGGACCCTGAGCAGGGCACACCCAGCAGGAAGCTTGCCCCCGCCAGATTCCTGGGAATTCTGGCTTCCAGGACGGCTGCCTCAGCTTTATATTTAGCCCAGGAAAGGCAAGCCCCCACTCTTGTACCTGGACAGGCATCCCAGTCACTCAGCCAATGGGGAAACTGAGGCAAGACCTGAGGCCCACAAGCACCTGGTGGGGGAACCGGCTGCCCCCTCCCCAGCCTAGGAGGAAGCTCAGCACAGGAGACAGCTCTGGGGCTGGGGCTGGGGCCAGCAAGCCCCACCTTGCACACACCCTAGGCCATCATGCTGAGAAGGCAGCATAGGCAGGTGGCAGATGGCTGAGGGCAGTGGGCAGACAGGGGAGCTCAGGCCAGGACAGGGTCTCACTACACTGATGGGCACAGGGAGCTGAGCATGGAGGGGGTGGGCTGAGAGGGGGTGGCCAGCATTCCTTTCCCTCCCCTCCCACCCCTCCCCGCCCAGGTGTAAAAAACACAAGCAGGAAGGGGGAGCTGGTGGGGGCTGCCCAGAGCAGCAGAGCCCAGAGTGGGGCACAGTAACCTAGGGGCTCACCTTCCCGCTCCTCTGGACCCAGGCCACATGAGCCCAGTCCCCAGGCCACCCAGAGCTCAGGCATGTCACACACAGACCCTGTCACATGGCCCCAGACAAGTCAGGGAGGACAATTGTCCCTAGACACATACTCTGTTCCCAGACAATGTCCCTAGACACACATTCTGTCCCCAATGTCCCCAGTGTCACCAGACACACACTGTCCCAATGTCCCCAGACTCATATTCTGTCTTCAATGTCCCCAGACATATACTCTGTCTCCACTGTCCCCAGACAAAAATCCTCAGACACACACACTGTCCCAAATGTCCCCAGTCTCACACTGTCCCCAAAGTCCCAAGACGCACACTCTGTCCCCAGACAATGTCCCTGGACACACACACTGTCTTCAATGTCCCTAGATGCATATTCTGTCGACGATGTCCTAGAAGTACACTCTGTCTACAATGTCTAAGAAACACACTCCTCAATGTCCCAGATACACACTCTGTGTCCCCAGACAATGTCCTCAGATGCACACATTGTCCGCTTTGTCCCCAGCCTCACACTCTGTCCACAGACAATGTCTCTGGATGCACACACTGTCCCCAATGTCCCCGGATGCATATTGTGTCCCCAATGTCCCAGAAGCACACTCTATCCCCAATGTCCCAGGACACATACACTGTCCCCAGATGTGCATGCTGTCCCCAATGTCTCCAGATGCGCACGCTGTCCCCAGATGAGCACATTGTCCCCAATGTCCCCGGATGTATATTCTGTCCCCAATGTCCCAGAAGCACACTGTCCCCAATGTCCCAGGATGCATACACTGTCCCCAGATGCACACACTGTCCCCAATGTCTCCAGATGTGCACACTGTCCCCAGATGTGCATACTGTCCCCAATGTCCCCGGATGCATACTCTGTCCCGAGACAATGTCCCGGAACCACATTCTGTCCTCAATGTCCCAGACACACACTCTGTCCCTAGACAATGTCCCTGGATGCACACTCTGTCCACAATGTCCCCAATGTCCCCAGACTCATTCTCTGTTCCCAATGTCCCAGAACCATGCTCTGTCCCCAATGTCCCCCAGATGTACTCTGTCCCCAATGTCCAAGCGCACTCTGTCCCCAATGTCCCCAGACACACACGCTGTCCCCAATGTCCAAGAAGCACACTCTCTCCCCGACAATGTCCCCAGACATTCTGTCACTAATGTTCCCAGATACAATTCTGTCCCCAATTTCCCAGAAGCATACTCTGTCCCCAGACACACACATTGTCCCCAGACATCCCCAGACACGCACTGTCCCCAAGGGACCCAGACACACACTCTGTCCCCAGACAAGTCCTTTAATGCACACTGTCCCCAATGTCCCCAATGTCCCCAGACACACGCTCTGTTCCAATGTCCCCAATGTCTCCAAATACACACTCTGTCCCCAATGTCCCAGAAGCACGCTCTGTCCCTAACATCCCCAGATGCTCGCTCTGTCCGCAGACAAGTCCCCCAATACACACCGTCCCCAATGTACGCAGACACTCTGTGCCCAATGTCCCCAATGTCCTCAGACACAGTCTTTCCCCAATGCACACTCTGTCCCCACTCTCCCAGACACCCCCAAGGGCCCAGGGAGGGCAGTGGGGACCCGGGATGGCGGGGCTGAGGAAGCAGCCCCCTGGAGAGACAGGGGCAGGACACCCCCGTGCCCACCCTCGACAGTCTTCACTGGCCAAGCTCCCCACACCTCACTGTCCCCACCAGCTGAACCCTCCCCACACGCCTTCCTCTTATATCTTCTCTGGGAG